CATCACAATGGAGCTAAAGAAAATTTGGAAAGGAGGCTTGTGGCAAACTTCCAACTCATATTTGCTTCACATCCAACCAAAGCTAGAGTACACCAGCAAAAACTCTCAAGGATCCCCTATTTATCGTGCCAAAGCATTGCTGCTCACAACAATAGAATCACCCTAGACTCACATGCATTACAATTGTTGAACCCTTGCCTTCCCCCTTGGGCCAGTCACCTGGCTGCCTAAATATCCATAATATATAACTAACAACCATGGCTAAGCTTATTATAGTTAAGTTGGATTCAAATGGTTTATGAATGGCTGCTGGAATATATAATAAATTGCTATGTGTTGCATGTAGCAATGCTTAATTTGTTTAATAGTAGTGTTATTCTTATTTATTAATCCAATTGATCAAATAAATTTTACAATTATAACCATGTTTGTAATTTATAAAAACAAGATTAATCTTATTGCATATCAACCATTAGATGATAGAATAAAAAATAATATACTAGAAAGGGTTTAAGAAAATTTATAAATTATAAATATGTTTATAAATTATAAATAAAAGATTAATCTAAATAAATAACAACCGTTAAATGGTAAAATATTCTAGTACCATCTCAATCCGGTTTACTTAAGCAAACAAAAAATGAAGAGCTAGTTAAATATTTATAATCTAACTTCTTTTGAACTATATAGGGTTTCGTAGTTTTAGGAAATGGATTCAAGGTGCCTTTTGACGTGCTCCATTTTTATTAAATGGAATTTAGGCTATCAAATAAATAAGCTTCAATTGCGTCCTTTTTGGTGTCGAAGGATGTGAGCCATAGCACTTTTAAAATTTCTTCTGCAGTGCTTGCGTGGGTCAGCCGTAATACGTGCTTCAGGTCTTTAGGTGATTATTTAGAAAGTCTATATTGAAGTTTCTATTTTCAGGTCGGTTCTTTGCATGAAAAACTAGATTTTCTGTCAACGTTTTGGAGAGATTGTCAGCGGTTTGAGTTATGTTGTTGCTTCCTATGCACTTCATGGAACAAAAACATAAATACTTTTTTGTGGAAGAAACTGTTCTAAGCAGACGAAAAACGCATACAAGAAAAAGTCGCCAGCTCACGAAAGTTTCTGTCAGCTTCGTCAGAGAATCCGGGGGAAGGTTTAAATAATGTTGAGAAAATGCAGGGAATAGCGGCAATTGCCGGCTACATTGTGATGGAAAAATGTCTCCGGAAACCACAGCCGGGGAATCTCGCTCCCGAGGCAAAACCAAACTGGACATTGCACTACGAGCTTTGACTGAGTTGCCTTTTCTTAGCATGCTTTCTCATGGAGGTGAAGAAACTTTCGTTTGATAGGCACTATGTTCTCAGCCTGGACGCGCTACAAGTGGGAATACCATGGCCGTGAAACTATTTATCGAACAAGATGGGTTTATACCTTTTTTTTAACACTTAAGTTCGTTCGTAAGGCAGAAGAGAGCTACCTGCAATTATCAATATAGAAGTTGTTATCTCTGAGCAGAGCTCCCATGCTAGCTTGTTCCCACTAGAGGAAGGAACTTTCTGTATAGCTGGAGCTTACTTTGTTTATGGGAAGGGTGTGCACACAATGTTTGCACTACAGCCTCATGTCCGATGCGTGCATTCTGCCTGTACTGGCGAACGAATTTGCGCAAGCCGCTGTCCTCCAGATCCAAGCTTTGTGAAGATATCAAGTTTTGCAAGCTGCTATGTCGGACAGATCTCCCTGAAACGAGGCTGCACAAACTGTGTCAAATATTATTCTTAAAGATACATCTGTAAACACTAAAAGTTCAGTCATAAACAAGCCTGGAACATATTGAAATTAATGAGGTTGAAGCCGTAAGAGATTTCTTTTATAAAACGATCAAATTATAATATTTTTCTGCGCATTGGACGTTGGTTTGTTTGTTTATTTAAATATTATCTGCATGTAAATAATTTTAAAAAATATTAATTATACTCGTTGACTTCTTCTTACATCTTTACGAAAAGAACATGTTAGATATTTTACAATGCTCCATGGGGCCTTCTACATTGTTAGTGACATTGAGTATCAGATCAACCGATCATTTGGGTAACCCGAAATTTCAATCCAGAATATACCTTTCAGTTTTGAATTTAAAATGAGATGGAGCCTGAGTGTTTGCCTAGGTCGTACTCTGTGTTCTCTCTTCTCTGTTCTATTCTGGGGCCTTCGAAGCTACACATGGCTGGATTCAGGAACTGCGGCCTCCAGCTTAGCGTGGTTCTCTTAGTGCTTATGGTCCTGCTCACATGGCCAATTGCAGATGGTGCTCATGCTCCTGCTCCAGGTCCCCAAATTCACCATGCTCCAGGTCCCATGAGCGCAGGACTTGCAGAATGCGCGCCCTCTTGGATCAGTATTGCTGTGGTTCTGATGGGTTTTGCGGTTATGCGAATTGCCTGAAGGAGAAGCCTGTAAAGCTCTGTGTGTTCTGTAACGATTGATACTGCTATTGTGTGCATTTGCCAATAAATAGATCGAGCCGAGCGCTCTTCTTGCAGCTGTAAATCTCAGTCTTGTTAGTCAATGCATGCAAGGCACATGGTGAAAAGATGAGCGTTCCTTGTGTTGAAGTTGATGACTAAGTCTCAGCAGGATATTCGCTCACCTTCATAAAGTTGAGCGAATATCGCTCACCTTCACAAGGTTGCTCTCAGGAATCTGGTAGAAGAATTGTTGCAACTCTGTGCGAGTCTTCTAGATGAGTGGCTTTGACCTACTTGTGATCTACTAGAGGGACACTTTGCATCCTAGGGCCCATGCTGAGGACCAAAAACAAAACTATATAGCTGTCATGCGTGATATTACGTCTAAACCTGCTCTAAACTTCCAGTGGGAAATTTGGAAAAAAGGTTGACTGGTCCTTCTAAAAGTCCTTCTAGGGCTTTTCACTTTTAACGAATGAAGTGAAAGGATTGCCCATATCTCGACACGGTCAAGCAGCAGGCACTGGATTTTGATTTCGAGGGGTGTTGCTCGGTCTCCCTGTCCAAGCAAAATGTCTATGGATGCCTGGTTTGCAGCAAATACTTCCAGGGGAGAGGACCAAACACCCATGCCTACATGCACAGCCTTGAAGCTAGCCACCATATCTTCATCAACCTGGAGAGTGAGAAAGTCTACTGCCTCCCTAAGGGATATGAGGTTGACGACCCAATGCTAAATGACATTTGATGTGTTCTAAATCCTAGGTTTGAAAGTTGGCAGCTCTTGCAAATTGATAGTAACAACTTGTGGAATAAGGTTTGGATGGTTATTCATTTCAGCGAAGTTTAAATAATATCAATAACACCAATTATGCCAATGTTATTACGAAAATAATACCACTCTGAGATTTCTTCCTGGTCCAAGAGAATTGCATAAGCTTTACTACGTCCCGGCTTGTCCACACCTTTGGTGAGTTGACAAGGAGGATCTGGAACATGAGGAGCTTCAAGTGTCACATAAGTCCCCACGAGTTCATGCAAGCGGTAGCGGTTTGGCATTGGGAAGCCCTCAGATCCTGTGCGCTTCTGGCTCCTGGACGCCCTCCACAGAGATCTCGGCGGCACCAAGATCCCCAACAGCAGCATCGTCTTCCAGTGCTTCCAAGGCGAGCTCGAAGAGACCACGGTGATCCCGACCAGAACTCACAAGCCGGAGGTTCGTTGCGTACCATTTCTAGGCCTCGGACTCGACTTGCCACCGCCACCGCTGTTCAAGGATCCAATACAGGGGAAAATCATCCCACGAGTCCCACTCGCGACGCTCTTGAGGAAGTTTGATGGAGAGACCGTGACCGATTGTCTGAGGCCACAGCCAGCACAGAAGCGCTACCGGGTGACAAGGCTAGCAATGAACCTCTTGCTCCATATGGGACGTTTCGCCACCAAGAAGTTCGAAAATTGCAAGAGGATACCTCATCAACTTTCCAGAGAAGAACTTGGAGCTGAGAGACCAAATCCCACTGCCTGATCGTCACAGTGGATCGAAGTATGACCTCGTTGCCACCCGATGGCACAGCCATGTCCGGTTCGTATCGAGCTCTTGTCCACAGCAAATGCGAGGGTGCGTGGTACCAGATCCAAGACCTGTGTCTGGAAAGTATACTGCCGCAACTAGTTGCGTTGTTCGAGCCTTACATGCAGATCTACGAGCAGCAACCAGTCCCAAGTTAGGTGATGTTGTAAACTGTCTCAAACCTTGATAACATTTTTGTACTGCTTCTTCTGTACCGATGAATGAGCATAGCTGTGTTGATCCAGCCCAAGGCAGCTTCACATATCCCAAAACTTTGAGCTCTCTGATCCGGCAGCTTGGTCCGTGGATTCCGTGCAGTTCGAAAAATCTCTGTATGAGAGGAGCCGCGTGGTGCTTGATGAGGTTGCGATTGCAAGTCTGGGACCTTGACTTGCTAGAGCGGTCGTGCAAGACCCCTGGTCGAAGCTTGATACCAGAGTCCCATGGTTAGAATCCCAGACGTTTACCACAGTGTCGTCGGGGCCTGCAGTGACAACTTTAACGTCGTCAAGGTGAAGGAAGTGCACGGGGCTGTCGTGGCCGCAGAGTTCTGCGAGAGCCTGATGGTTGCTTCTAGTGTCCCATAGCTTGCAAGTCCTTGAAAAGAAAAATCAAACTTCTGAATTAATTTCGGTTGATTGATACCTGTCGTTGCCTCCAGTGCACAGAAGCTTTCCTGAAGAAGATAGCGCAGTAGCACAGATTCCACCGGGGTGATCAATCGTCGCAACAGTTTTCATCGTTCTTAGATCAAGCGCTGCAACGGTAGAGCCTCCTGAAGCGTAGCAAATGGACTGGAACGACTTGAGACTCGTCAAGGAAGCGGGACCTTTGGCAGCTCCAACGCAAGTTGCCGTATTTGTGTCCCATACTCGCAGCTGTGACGCAAATTTAGCCATGAAAGAGCACATTTTTTTTGCTCACCTTTGAGTCTTTGGCTCCACTAACCATGATACAAGGATTGTGCCTGGAAAAGAAAAAGACAAAAAGAATCGTGAAACGATTGTCAAGAATCAACATTCTTACCCAGCTACTGCCAAGTCTTTAATATATGATTCGTGACCATATAACGTTGTTAGTAATGGTGTTCGGCCGCCATTGAAATTCCATAGTTTCACAGTGCTGTCCATGCCACCGGAAGCAATTACCGTTGCTTGTCCAAGAAGCCTGTCTGCAATAACGCTGACCCCATCAGAGTGACCTCTAAGAGTTCTCAAGCTTCGACCCTGTGTGTTTGAAGTGATACAAGGAAAGACAATCGAGGAAAAAAAAAGATACCTTTCCCCATATACGAATGGTATGATCAGCACTGCATGTAGCTAAAATGTTGTCTCCAATGAAGTAATTGCGAAGTCCACCTACAGGAAATAATCTGAGCCATGACAAAGAATTAAAACTAGAAAGGAAAAACAACGTGACGATCAACTACACACCTCATGCAGTTAATTCTGGCGCTATGATCATTGAGAACTTTCAACCCAGATGAACTGAGCATTACAACTAGAACTTCCGAGCCCTGAGGAGAAAAGTGGAAACCAAAGGTTTTTAAAGAAGTGCAAAGTTGCGCCTTACTCGAGCTGCTACAATGGCATCTTCGTGGATCAAAATCTGCTTGACCATCGTCGGTAGCGAAAGTTTCCACTCGAAAGGATCCCTGAATCGAAACTGCTGACACGCAATGAGCCTGCCGAGGTAATCATCTCTTCCACCGAGAAACTCAAACAATCCGGAAGTAGTTTGCTTGGCCGGCCAGCGGATTCTAGATGGAAGAAAGCTAGGATAAGCTAGAATTCGTCTAAGATAAGCTACAATTCGCTGCTTACCGGCATTGGCGTTCCCAAAGGGGATCGGCGTAGGCGATTTGTCGAAGGCGCTTGCATGACATCGCCAAATGTGAGAGATCTCTGAGATCGAGCGACCCCGCGCAGAGCAATAGAGGGTCCGAGGGAAGATCCAAAAGCTCAGTGGGAGACGACTCCATTGAAGGGCAAAACCCTAATCAGACATGGTGTGATAAGGGTTTCTAGATACTACCCAATGTGTGCGCGACGCGTGGCTTTGGCGGGCAAGGGTTGGCGCGTAACTGCTAATTGAAAAAAAGAAATCAGGGTTTCCGTTAAAGATTTTAGCTGGAGCTGAGAGCTAGGGCTCGTCCAACGCTGCCGCGGCGATGGCCAGGCGCTTGAGCGCCGGGGTGTTTGAGGCCGCCTCCAAGGCCGTGTCCAAGCTCACGGAGCGGTAAGATTTCCATTCCAAGAGAATGTAGCTTAGCGATTTGGTGTTCTTGGGGGCAGTGCACCAGATCCGGAGGAAGATCCGGATTTCCTAGCTCGAAATCCCCGATGGGAAGATCAACTCCCTCCCATTCATGGTGTCGGGAAGCCACAGGATGACAAAGCGCAATCTACTGCCGCCTTGCTAGCTGCGCTCGAGAATCTTCCACGCGCTCCCGAGTCCTTGCCGAGGAAGAATTGGAAGAAGGCTTACAAGGCAGTCAAGCGCATACTGGTTTGTATCAGCTCAACTTTTTTGTTTCTTTCATCCATTCTTATTATTTCTTTGTTTCAGCTCATAAGAAGGAAGGCGAGAAGGAGTGCTGTAGGCACTGGAGCTCGGATGGAGGGTCATGCTCTAGGGTTTTGGAGTCCTTACAGCTCTGTTCGCCTCAATCTCTTCATGTTTCTTCACTGCCAGTACGTTACTGCTCGCGTTTTCTTGTTGGTGGTTGCTTACACTGTTTGCAGAAAAGCGGAATACTTCCTCTGCTTTCTCATATTTTCACATATCATAGTGCTGATTTTCCAAGTAAAGGTCGGGCACAGAGGTGAAAGGTGGACGGAAATACGAGACTTCAACCTCGATTTTCTGGATGGGTTTATTACCGCACTTTACACGTACGTCTAAGCGACTGAAGACTTAGCGTTATTGTGTGATTTCCTACAGGTTGGAGATGGCTTTGAAGATTTGCTGTCTGGGGCTTTACCAGAAAAGCCACTGCTACCTTCGGAATCCGTATAACAGGCTTGATTTTGCGGTCGTTGTCGACTCCTGGTACTTGCAACTTCTCTTCCTTTTCCTTTCCACAAGCATGCTTTAGTATTATCCGAGTTACAGGATTCATATCATTGTTAGAGGCATAACTGGAAAGGACTTCTTTGCACGAGTTGCAGTTTTCCGTGCATTTCGAGGCCTCCTCGCATTGAAGCATATCACCTTTTTCGCGGATGTCATTGTATGCTGCCGTTTTGTGTACATGTCAGCTTCATCGATGATGTAATAGCTAGCAATTGTGTTTTTTTCTTGTTCTTTACAGTCTATCATGGCAGCCGTTAAGAGGAGTGTTGGCCCGCTTCAAAATGTCATACTGCTGACATTCTTTATGCTGGTCTTTTACGCGCTACTTGGGACTCAGTTTTTGCAAAAAACTATGTCTCAAAGGTATAAGAGTTTTGATGAAGTCCATTTCATGAAAGCTGTCTTGTAGGTGCTTGCGGACAACCGATTTACGGCTATCATATCCAGAACGCTTCTGTGACAAGAAGGTCATTGATGGATACATCTGCCCTTCTAATCAGAAGTGTAAGGTGAGGTTTGGAATGCTCCCAAGCTGTCACTTATAACGTTGTCTTTACAGGTATACGGAAATCCTAACTTTGGATGTACAAGTTTTGATTACCTCTGGTGGTCTCTACTTACTATGTTTCAGGTTTGTTTCTGTTTATGGAGAAAGGAATTTTCAGTTGGTATTCCAAAGTAAATGATTTACTTACAGTAAACATTTTCAGATCGTATCCTTGGAGGGATGGAGCCTCATTATGTACCGCGTGAAGGATGCCGAAGGAGAACGAGCTAGTAATATCTTCGACTTGCCGGGTTTAGCTATGCTAATACTTGCAATGCAGATTCATATTTTATGACCTTAGTAGTCATTGGCACGTATTTTCTTTGCAACGTGTTCATTGCGGGAATAAGTGGCGTTTTCCTTCGGGTCAGGGCAGAACATCAGGCATGGTTCTTTTGTATTGTTTATGTCTTTCTAATTCGTCTTCGTATAGGCGCTTTTGAAAAAATCTCGTAAAAACCAGACTTCCTTTTACAATGCAACGGTGATGGCTGATATACTCAAGGACGATATTATAAAAGACGAAGCGAATATGAAGTGGCATTTACGTATTCTGAACAGATCCAAGAAAGTCAAAAGGAGTGTCTTCCGAGCTTTAAGTCGTACTCAGTCATCTATGAGAGATGCTTTTCATGCTACTTCGTTCCGTATGAGCCGGATAGGCTCAGAACGATATAACCGGTCGTTAAGTCGAAGCGTAACGATGGGAGTTAGAGCAGCCGCATCTATCTCTGAACAATCTCGTGCCATCGTACAACATCCAAGTTTTGACTGGGGGGTGCTGTTGGCTGTTACAGTTAACGCGGTTGTTTTATGTTTGTACAGGTATGGCATGTCGAAGGATCTCTTATATATACTCTGTATCCACATTGCTGTTTGCTTCTTGCTTTTCACTTTGCTGGCCCTTAACTTGACAACTTTAGATGGCATTCAAGCTGTGCTTCTTGTCACTTTTGCCGCCGAGTTGCTACTGCGATTTCTTGCTTTCGGCCCGCCCACATTTTACGAGGACAGTACGTGACGTTCACATTCTCCGTGCCTCAGTGTTTGATCTTGATTGTGGTTGCAGAGATGAACATGGTAGATCTGTTTGTTGTAGCGGTCTCTGCTGGAGCTCTGGTTTCACGAGCGTATCCAAATATCAGCGCGTTTCGAATTATGCGATGGTTCTACCTGTCAAAGAAATACGTTGACAAGCATCCTTCCGTTGTGGTGAGTTTTCTGACCTGGGGTGTGCATTTGACTGTTTTTTGTGACGTTCTAGGCCACTTGCATAAGCGCTGTTGGCTCACTGGTTGGCGTATTCTTTTTCTATGTGCTTGTTATAGTTATAATGTCTATCATAAGCATGGAACTGTTTAGCGGTCAGTATTATAAGTTTGCGGATGGCTATCCTCGTGCACACCACGATTCTATGCTCCAGACTATGCTTCTGTGGTTCTCGGTAACCACCGCTGAAGGCTGGCCGAATCAAATGTGGAACTCCATGCGACCCGGGGTGCTATATAAGTACGTTGCCTTGATCACTTGTAGTCAAATTCTTATGAGTGTTGTTTATGTGCAGCGGAGTGGCGCCCTTTCTTTACGTTTTCTACTTCGTTTTAACAGTCCATATTATTATGAACCTCATCATTGCCGTTCTACTGGAGAAAAACGAGCTTACAGACAACCAGAAGAAGCAAATACAAAGGGTACGTCGGCTCAAGCTCTTGACAAAGACGTATTCTGTGACATTTTCCTGCAGACAGAGCACATGAGGTTGATCAGGCGCATGCAAAGCAGAGTTTTCACGAGAAGTGGAAGCTGGGTTGTTGGTGCGGTCGAAGGAATGAAAACAGGTCTTGGAAATCTGGCGTATCGAGTTTTAAGCATGAACGTTAGACCTGTGAAAACGCAAAGCAAGAAGCAAAAACATCGTTCTCGACGCAAGGACCGGGACTCTGGCAAAGGACAGGATAATCTGGAGGCAGTGTCTACTGCAGCTGCAGAGCAAACCAGTGCCAGCTCGACTGAGCCGCAAAGACGACGCAGCCGGAATTCTCAGATTTTGCAAGCTTCTGGATTTCCCCCTAACATTGGAGAGAAGCGAGGGTCGAGAACTGCACTTGAGGATGCTGTGTTAACTCTTGCCGACATCACTAAGCCTCCGTCCTTCAAATCTCCCAGCTTGCTTCTTAGCAGAGACATGAGCAGAAAAGGCTCGGGTAAAAGGCAGTCGTTCCAGTTATCGGACTATGAAGAGCTTGAAAAGAACATCGACAGCATCGAAAGGCCATGGTACCTGCATGAAGGCTCTCTTCTCTTGTTCGGAGAGAAGAGTCACCTGAGAAAGCATTGCAAAGCTATCGTCGAGAGCAAGTGGTGGGAATGGTTTTCTATAGCTTGGGTTGGCATAGGTACGTGGATTGTCATCGAGATGCGGGCAACTGGGGAGCCGGTATTTGCACCCACTGCTATCAAAGTGCTGCACAAGCTTGTGCTTGTGGTAAGAGTCAAGCTATATGTCTTCATTACTTAGACTCGAGTTGCAGGTTTTCATGCTGGAGCTGCTGCTCAAGGTTATAGCCAACGGTTTTATGTTCTCGCCGGATGCCGTCCTAAACGACCCGTACAACATCCTCGATATTTTCATTGTTATCATCGACGCGGTCAATCTTGCCACCTGGGGTGAGAAATCCAGAAGAGCTGTTCATGCCTTGACGGCATTGCGGCCATTCCGCTTCATCAGTAGGATAAGTGGACTGCGCTCCTTAATGTCCAACCTGGTCAAGACGCTTCCTGCCATCATCGCTGTGCTGCTATTCACATTTATGCTCTTCGTGACTTTCGGCTCCATCGGGATCCAGCTCTTTCGAGGTCGTCTCTACTTTTGCAACGACAGCAGAATATCTCATCGAGCCTATTGCACCGGGCACTACTACAACAATGTTGGCGTTTACTCTCCGCGGGCCTGGGTAAATCCGAACTTCCACTTTGACGACATTGGTAATGCTTTTCTCTCTTTATTCGTCTGCTCTACCTTCGACAATTGGGTAACGAATTGGCTGTATCCAGCAATGGATATTGTTGGTGAAAACAAGCAGCCGCAACGGGACAACAGCCCGGCTTATGCCTTGTACTTCGTGGCGTTCTGCGTTTGCGGAGGATTTTTTATCATCAGGGTGTTCATCGGAGTTTTTATAAACGAGTTTGGAAAGAATTCTGGGTCGCTGCTCTTGACGGAGAGGCAGAAGCTATGGCGGGACATGAACCGTATTATTCAGAAGCTAAAACCAGGGGCACTGCCACGACCACCGAAGAACTATATCAGAAAGCTGTGCTTCTATGCGATCCGGAACCGGCATTACCAGAACACTATGATTGTTTGCCTTCTTGGTTACTCTGGACTCTTGGCTACGAACTATGCCGGCCAGCCAGCGTATGTATCCAATCGCCGCCAGAAAGCTCATTGCGCGCTCACTGCGTATTTTTTGATGGAGTCATTGACCAAGTTTCTCGGCGACGAGGTATAAAGCTGCGTGTTTTGTTTTTCTTTCTCATGAAACGTTGTTTTATTGCTGGTTTTGCAGTTTAGAGTTTACAGATACGAGTATTCAAGACACATAGAGGCTGTGATTTCCATCTTAGCAGGGGCGGGATTGATGGGATTGAAGGGAACACCCAGGGGTTATGTTGGCCGGTTTGCTTACATTGCTCGGGTGTTTTGCATCATTCCTCACGTACCAAGAGCTCGGGTCATTATGAGAGTGATGTTCATATGCTGCCCGACTATAGGAGAGATCATGGCTCTTCTGGGGATTTTCCTCTTCTTGTTCGCTGGAATCGGTTTCCAGATGTTCAGCCAAGTCGCGGATGGAGCTTGTATTGGTCCGCTGGTTAACTTCAAAACCTTTGTGAATTCCTTCATTACCGTGTTTCAAGTAAGTTCGTTTGCATTTTAGTTCTGCTCGTGATTAGCTAATGCTTGTTTCATAGGTAACGACGCTTGACAACTGGTCGTGCATTATGGCCGACGCGATGCTGGGTACTCCAAAATGTACCGATGGCAACACCATGCTGAAGAACGACTGTGGTTATCCTTTTGCGGGAGTGATATACTTCGTCTGCTTGATCGTGGTGGCAAGCCACATCTTCATGAACCTGTTTGTAGCCGTGATTCTCGATGCCATCACTTTTGGATTGGTGAACGAGAATTCAATGGTGACGCCGGAGCACCTTCTCGCGTTTAAGTCTCTATGGGCTGAATTGCCTTTCGATCCCGAGTAAGCATTTTACTTCGTTGATCAGGCTTCTCACTTTACTTTGAGCAGGGCCACGGGTTATATTGGCATGCACAAGCTACGGCGTTTCGTAAACTCTCTAGGAATTCCTCTGGGACGTCGCTACAATGCCACCGTTCAATGGTGATCTAAACACTCATGTCAAGCTTCTCACTCTCCTACTCCCATTTCAGGTACCTGAGGATCGAGTTCGAGGTCATGAGCTTCCGGGTTCCAAACAAAGGGATTCCTTTCAAGCAGCTGCTAGAAACTTTGACGCTGTACAAGATCGGACCCACAGTTAAGCCTTTTCGTTTCATGGTTCTCGTGGCTTGAGTGTTTCTCAACAATGCACAGGGTCTACCGCTCACTTTACGCATCGAAAGAGAGAAGCGCATCCAAGACGTGTATATCCGCGGCGCGACCACGAAAGTCCAGGCACTTGTGCGGGGATTTCTAGTAAGGAGGCGAGCTGCCCGGGCTAGAGGAGAAGAATTTGAGGGAGGATTGCCGTTGCTCAAAGACGATCAAAGCGGTGGAAACGAAGAACCGCAACAAGATGAACAGCAAGAACAGCAACTAAGAAGCAAATCCATGCTCGTGGAAGAAGAAGGAAGTTAGCTTAAATCCGGGAAGTTAACATATGGCGTTTAGCTTATATTTCCTTTAATGCGAAGTAAAAGCCCTAAAAACAGAGGAATGATGGCTAGGGCATGAGCATTCGGGCATGGCGGGCGAAATCCTTGCAGCACGGTAGCGCCGCATCGCTGGGAGAGGCCGCATTGCTGGAAATCCAGCGCCTCGCAGCGATTCATCGAGAGGGTAAGCAGCAGCAGGATCGAAATCTTCATGGCGAGCAGGAGATCAAAGATCATGCGAACCGCATCCGGCAGTGCGGGCGAGCCGGAGATCTGGCCGAGGCCGAGCGGGTTCACGCCGCGGTGCTGCGATCCGGGCTCGGCGGCGATCGCTTCCTCTCCAATCTCTTGGTGGAGATGTACGGCAGGTGCGGCGGCGTGGAGGGCTCCCGTACGGCGTTCGATGCCATTGAGTCCCCAAACGTCTACTCGTGGACGCTGCTCATCGCGGCATATGCCCGCAATGGGCATCACAGGGAGGCCATAGAGGCGCTGAGGAGAATGGATCTGGATGGAGTAGAGGCCGATACTTTCACTTACTCCACCATTTTCAACATGATCTCGCGCAAGGAGATGCTGCCCCAGGCAAGGTGGCTCCACGAGAGAGTCTCGACGTCTTTGGAGCTTGGGTTGAACAGAGATATCTTCCTGGGAACTGCCATCGTCAACATGTATGGGAAATGTGGCAGCATACACGACGCCGAAGAGATCTTCTTTCGGATGGAGCACAGGGACGTGGTGGCCTGGAACGCGATGCTCTCGGCCTATGCTCACAACGGGTACGAGCTCGAGGCGGCCAAACTGTTCCAGGAGATGGAACACGAGGGAGTCAAGGCGGACAGGGTGGTTTTTGTGAGCCTTCTCGAGGCTTGCTCTAAGCTGGGGGACTTGGAGCAAGGGAAGGTGGTGCACGGGCGCGTGACCGAGCTCGGGTTTGAGGCCGAGGACGTTCTCGGGCACGCGCTGGTGAACTTATACGGGAAGTGTGGAGCGCTGGAGGAAGCGAGGTCGCTTTTTGGTAAGATTGTTTCTAAGAATGTGGTGTCGTGGAACGTCTTGATAACGGCCTATCTGCAGAACGGGCTCGTGGAGGATGCACTCAAGCTCTTCACAGAGATGGCGCTGGATGGGACCAGACCCGACGACGTGACCTTCAACAATCTCGTCAACTTGTGCACGGGGGTGGTGAGCTTAGAACAAGCCAGGATTCTCCACCGGCGATTGATCGAGAGTGAGATCCACGTAGACGCTGTAATGAGGAACGCCGTCATGAATCTCTACGTGAAAGCTGGGAGTTTGGAAGATGCCAGGGCCGAGTTCTATCGCATGGAAGTCAGGGACGTGGTTTCGTGGACGCTCATGCTTTCGACATACTCGCAGTCTGGATACGTAGACGAAGCATTCAAGCTGTTTCATCAGATGGACCTTGAAGGCATTGAGGCCGATGCCGTCACCTACATTGCAGTTCTCGACGCCTGTGATTGCTCCGAGCTCCTGGAGCAAGGCCGGAGAGTGCGCGCTCGAGCAGCTCAGTCAGCTTTTCATGAAGATGTTGCTGTCAGCACTTCGCTCGTCAACATGTATGGGAAGTGCGGAAGCTTAGTCGAAGCCAAGACATTGTTCGACGGGATGAGCTTTAGGAACGAGTTATCATGGAACGCAATGGTGAGAGTTCTCGGGTTTAACGGGCAGAGCAGCGAGGCCTTTCGAGTCTATCGGGTGATGCAGCTAGAAGGGGTCAAGCCAGACTCGACTACGTTACTCATCCTCCTCGACGCTTGCAAAGATTTGTCACAGGGCCGGATGGTCCACTCCAAGATCATCGAATGTGGATTCGATCGGGACAAAGGTGTCCCGCACACGCTTGTGATCATGTACGGGAAGCATGGAGATCTAGAAGAAGCCAACCAAGTGTTTCGGAAAAGTGTCCTGGATTGCGGAAAGGATCTAGCCAGCTTATGGAACGCTTTCATCGTAGCTCACACACACAACGGCCAGACCGAACAAGCAGCTCAGCTTCTTCACAGCATGGACCTCCAGGGCGTAAGACTCAACAAGTTCAGCTACGTTGCTCTGCTCGACGCATGCTCGACGTTACAACAGGTGGAGCAGCTCCACTTACGACTGCTTGCGGAAGGATTGGAGGCAGATCAAGAGATTGGCAACACACTCATCACCTCGTATGGCCAGTGTGGTAACATAGACGCTTCAAGAGCCGTCTTCACGGGAATGGAGTGCAAGAACGTGATTTCCTGGACTTCTTCCATTGTAGCTCACGCAACCAACGGACAGGCTAGCCAGGCGATGGGGCTGCTTCATCAAATGCATCTAGAAGGCGTTCATCCAAACAAAGTCACTTTGCTGGGCTTGATCGATGCGTGCGTGAGCCTGGCAGCAGCAGTGGACAAAAACGAGAGAAGTATCGTCATACCGGAGTATGTTCTATCTGTGGCCAGCAGATTCGAGTCGACTATCGTTCTAGAGACTGCGCTGCTCAACATGCACGCCAAGTGTGGCAACGTAGAGGAAGCCGAGAGGATTTTTTTTGAGAAGATGGCCGATGGGGAAAGGGACTCTATCGCATGGAATGCCATGGTTTCTGCCTATGCTACCAACGGACACGGCCTGGAGGCGATTGAAGTAGTGCGAAGGATGGACTTGGAAGGGATAAAGCTGCACAGAGTCACCTTTCTGGGCCTGCTGGACGCCATTGCTGGAGTGGGAGACATCACGATGGTGAAGCAGACACACGCAAGGCTGACCGAGGCAGGAGTTCTTCCCAGCCTCGCACTAGAGAACAGTCTCATAGCTGCTTATGGACGTTGCGGGAGTGTGGAGGATGCAAAGTCTGTTTTCAAGGGTATCTCGTGCAACAAGGATTCCGTCTCCTGGGGCGCTCTCATCGTGGCTCTCTCCCAAAACTGGCAGGCTTCTCCGGCACTAGAGCTCCTCAAGAGCATGGACTTGGAAGGGGTCAAGGCAGGAAAGGTGGCGCTGCTGAGAATGGTGGAGTCGTGTGCGCTGCTGGGAGCTCTTGCTCACGGCAAATCTCTCCACACTCGCATCCTCCGCTCGGGCTTCCAGGCGGAAGAGGTCCTCGCCAACGCACTCATCGCCATGTACGGGAAGTGCGGCTGCCTGGAGACCGCCAGGAAGCTCTTCGAAGACGAGCTCCAGACGCCTGATCCCGGTGGTAGAACCAGGAAGAACAACGTAGTAACTTGGACGACGATGGTCACCATCTACACGTCCGCTGGCCACCCCAGTGAAGCGCTGGAGCTCTTCTACGGCATGGTGTTGCAAGGCGTCCTTCCCACGTCGGTAACGCTCACCAGCATTCTCAGCGGCTGCAGCCACGCCGGCCTCGTCGGCCAGGGGATCCGCTACTTTGCGTGCATGGTGGAAGATCACGGCGTCACTCCCACGGCGGATCACATGAACTGCCTTGTAGACTTGCTGGGACGAGCAGGCTGGCTCCGGGAGGCCGAGGACTTGATCAGGAAGATGCCGGCGGGAGACCCTCTAACTTGGAAGGTCCTCCTGGGAGCTTGTAGGCTCCATGGAGACTTGGAGAGAGGCACAAACGCAGCGCGGAAGGCATCAAACTTCCTTGACCACTGCGATTCGTCGCCTTACGTGTTGCTGAGCAACATGTACCTGGAGAAGGATCCACAAAGCTTGACAAACTGCGAATCGTCCGGACTAGTTCCAACTTCATGATCGATCACGCAGGTACTAGTTCCAACTTCATGATCGATCGCACAGGTACTCGTTTTAACTTCGTGATCGAAGGTACTTATGTTGGTAACTGTGTGATTAACGGTTTTTCCAAGCTTGACAAACAGCTCCGTGTTCTTGGTATGTTTCAAATTTGTGTTCTATTATTTCTGATATAGATTTTACTTTATGTACCCAGCACAGCAGCTATGAGCAGCATCAAGGATCGGCATGGCCAGCCATTTCCTCGTCGCTGGACGCGTAATCCTCATCAGTCACTTCCGCGTCGCTGCTCTCTTCGGGGTGAGCTGCCGTATCCTCTGACTTTGCATATCTTTCGCAGTACTCTGATCAAAACGCACGAAATACTTTGGCCAGGCCAAACAAGAAGGGAGTCCATCGCTCTTACCTTTAACTTTCTGGTCGTAGCGATCTCTGTCCCTCATCATCAACGCGGCCGCTTCACCATTGAGTGGATCTGTGGGGTTGGGATAGAGTAGCAACTGAGGTAGAAACACCTCAAACACGTTGATCAAATCTACACAAACCATAATACCAAAGAACTTTCAGAGCTTGAAACTTGCGAGCAAATCATCGTTACCAAACATTGGGCTCCACGTTTGGTTGATCACGTCCAAGCACACGGAGCCGGACCTGGAAGCAAAGCATCGATAAGATGAGCTCCAAAGAGAGAACCGAAAGACCGAAAAAAAGAGAGAGAAAAAAGGAAAGAGAACGAAAAGAAATGGGAGATTTCAGGCAGGCATACATCTCGTCCACATTGGGGTGAAATATCCTGTTCACAAAACCGATGGATGGAGATTTATACGGGTAAGCCTCTGGAAGTTCGACACGAACCTTCCAAGTCCCCGTTTGATATGGACCTGTTGGAAACGAAACAGGATTAGAACCATGCCACAGCCCGGGGAGTTGAAAAAGAGATGCAGAAGCAACGAAATTCACTCTATCTACGTGATACGTGACACCACAAGGGAAGAAAAACAAAAGAGAAAAACTCCCGGCCAAGTGACAATGGCTTAGATTTTTACGTGTTTTAGCTTTGAGAGGTGGACACCTGGCGTTTTTGGAGCTCTTCTCGAGGACCCGCACCAAGAAGTGCTGGCATTCTTTTTTGTGTCCATGGCTATGAATCTGGAAGAGCGAACAAAAAATGGCAACTCAACTCGAGGGCAGTTCTCCTACAGATCCAATCCAAGGCAAAAACAAGAAGAAATCTCTCTTTCAAACAAGCCGAGAGACACAGAGGCACGAAAACCACAGGGAGACAAGAGGAAGAGAAGAGGGCAGTGTGGAGGACTTACTATCCCGAGGTCCATGGAACTCCACATTAAACTCGTTCATCCCATCGTTTACCATCTCCACCTTGTAGTCACTCATCATCCTGGAAAGAGGAATGGGAAGCAAAAAGAAGAAGCAATGAATTAGCAGAGAGGAAGAAAGCGAAGAAAGAGAGGTTTTTCATAGCCACTGGAGAGCGAAGAAGGAATTGAAATTCGAGAGGAGGCGAGACTCACAGTTTCATCACATCCATTTCGCGGCGCTTGCTCGGGGAAGACATTCTCGCCTGCGCTGCTGCTGCTGCTGCCCTGCCCTGCCCTGCCGCCCCGCCGCTCAGCGATGGAGAGCCGAGGAACCCACCAAGATCGAGGACGCCCTAAATCTCATCTAGCGAGTGACAACATCCACGCCAAGGGAATGGGATAGCCGCTGTGCCAAAGCAAACAGTGACTGTCGCGACTGGAGAATCGGAACCCTAGAATGCTGGTGGACAGCCTAGCCCTAGGCCACCACGCTCGAGGCTTGGCAGCCGTCGGATGCCGATCTGCGCCCCTTCAGCGTGGCCCTTGATTCCGCCAGCTCGGCAGGAATATCCTTCGTTATGAATCTTAACGGTAAGTAACGGTTTCCCGCGGGAAAATATCCCCTGTTCTTGCGAGCTATGGCGGTCGACAAGGGCAAGAAGAAGGCGGCAGCTGGGACGAAGAAATCGTCGGCCGAGGGGAAGAAATCTACCGCAAAATCGTCGAAAAATGCGGCGGCCACGCAGAAGAGCAAAAAGGCCGCTACCTCCGCGAGCAAGACGAAGACCAAACTGAAGAAAGCGGTGGAGAGCAGCGAGGAGGAGACGAGCACTGCGACGGAGGAGCGTGTATCAGATCAAGGCAGCGCAGGCGACGAGCCAGCAGCTGGAACGAAGCCAGGATCTTCAACTCCCGGCGGCGCTCTCGCAGTGCCTCCCCAATCCGGCCTCATGGGAGGACTGAGTGGAATTCGAGGCATCAGGCCGCAAGTGCCGATGATGATGGTCCCCCCAAGGCTGGGAGCGATGCAGCAGGGAATGATGATGCCGCAGCAGCAGCCTGGGATGATGATGGCGATGAGATTCCCGGGAATGACGATGATGAACCGCTCGCCTCCGGTGATGATGAATCCATTCCAGCAGCAATTCAATCGCGGAGGAGCCACCATGATGGGAATGGGATTGCAACAGCAGCCGCGCGGAATGCCAGGCTTCTCACAACAATTTCCTCAGCAGCAATCTTACAACATGGTCTCCCCGCAGGCTTTCTTCTCTTCTTCGTCGTCGCCATTCGAGGCACAAGCTTACTCTCCCTGGAACTATAAAAATCCATCTTGGGCTTGGCAACAACAGCCATCGTGGCCCAGCAATTCCAATTGGAACAATCAAACATCCTGGCCAGAGCAGCAATCCAGTTCCTCGCAACCTTACGACCAACAACAACAGCAGCAATCTTGGTGGGATCAGGCTCCCCATCAAACCTCTTCGTGGAGCCAGCACTCCCAGCAGCCCCAGCAATCCTTGAGCCAACAGTACTACGATTCCTCGGCCCAATCGTCCCCACCTTCTTACGACTACTACAACCAATACCACTCCGATCCACAGAACTACTACCAGCAGCAGCAGCAGCCGGAGGACTATTACAATGCTGCTAGCTACGATCAATCCACGAGCTACGATCATCAATACCACAATCCTTACGATCCCTCGACCTCGCAAGCTCCAGAGTATAGCTATGATCATCAGCGTTGGCCGAGCGAGTACTACGGCGGTCAGAGCCAAAGCTGGCCGCAACGAGGCGATCATTACCACCCAAACTGGAGCTACGGCCGTCGCAAGAACCTATACTCCTGGCCGCCACGCTGGAACCCAAAGCGATAAAAATGTAGGTTTAAACTTCATGTTGGAAAATAGTTATAAATGTATAGTTTTTACAAATAAATTCTAGTATAAGAGCTAGTTGTTTTACACATAGTAAAGGAAATGGTAGCTTTTTCAATGATTTTTTTGTGGAGTTTGCCATGTCATTGAGTTTGTTTGTGCCTTCTCACTAAATAAGTTCTTTAATTCAAGTTTTAACATTGTTTTTATTCAGAAAATTTTTAGTTGATTTTAGTGATAATGCTCATATTGCTTATCCAGATAGTATTGATCTTCCTAAAGGTAAAGCAAACATGCATGTTAAATAATTAATAATCTTGGTTATTTTAATATTAATCTTGCATCACATTTAAATTTTAATTTCTGTTTTATTAGGTTTGAAATTCTTCCAAAAAATATAATGGTAAATACTTTCAATTTTTAATATTTTTATTCGACTTGATTTTAATCCCGACCGCCAAATAGTATTTAGTTTGTTCCCATCCTTTGACTTTTGAGTGTTTTCACATCCTCATTTTTATAAACAACTTTAATGGCGCACCTTGGGTATTCTTTATCATTAATACTCGAGAAAGAAGCCTTTAGTTCTTTATAAGATAACTTTAAAAATTTAAAATAGAAAATAATTCATGAAATACATCTTATACCACTTAGTCCAACTATAATAATACTGTATCTAAAAGTAAAATATTAATTAAAACTTTTATAAAATAAAAGTTCATTAATAGAAATATTAATGAATGTTCCCTCATTTCATTTAAATTTTTTCTTTATTTATTAATATATATTGTTAATGTAATTTTTTCTAAAAAAAATATTAAATATTAAATTTACAACTATATCACTTGCATTGTACTATACAAATGAAAAAGAGTATGCATTTATAATTTAACAATATGTATAAGCATACAACAATATAGTTTAAACTTTCACAAACTTGAGAATTTGTTTGAAAAATGCTCAATTTATTATGAAGATGTTTTATAAACTTATGGTGAATATTCATAACAATTTATAAAATTATGTTTAGTATAATTTATATTATGTATTTATTTATTATTGTTGTTTTTTTATAAATAAGTTTTACTGATTTAAATAATATTTTTAAAATGTTAGTCCTGAGAAAAAAATTAAATGGAATTTATTAAATTAATGCATTTCATAGTATAGTGGTGGATTGAAATTGCAACTTTCTGATGAAAATCATAGTTACAATTTTGGATCATCCCATGCTTTATTTTGTGTGATGAGATATTTTTAGTGAGCATTAACTAATTAGTATTACTCTTTGTTAATTTTTTACTAAGAATATGATTTAATTGTTTTCTAAACAAATTTAAAATTTAAATGAATGATTTTAACACATGGAATGAATATACAAATGTATTTCTAAATCTTCATATTTTATACATTTTTATAGCTTTCTAGCACTAGCACATCTAGCAATTAGATAGATATCCAAAACTTTTCTTTTTATCGTCACAAGCTCTACTGGCAACTTCTTCCAAAACAAACTTCTAATATAATCTCAACATAATGATATCACTATGGAGAATTATCTTACATCTATTAGTACCATCAAGTATATATTTTACCTAGTACTTCTTTGGATTTTGCCCCTTCTTATATCATCAATGTAGTGATGTAGCATCAAAGAGTCTTTCAGGCAAACCAAAATTGTAAGAAATACTTCAAAGTTAGCAAGCTTTTCTCCAAGAAACGAGGACAAGACCTTCAAATGTACCTCCATTGGGAACTTTAATCTCAGGCTTGACAAGCTTGAATTCTCTGCAAAATCTGTCCAGCATGAAGATCTGCATTCCCTGGCCAACTGCATAGTAGTATGAAGTTTCTCTCGTTTCTTATGGAGACAAAAGATCTTGCATCTCAAGGAGCTTTCTCGCTGTTTATTGTTGGAAACAAAGTGATGTTTCCCTGGGAGGAATCGATTTCCAGCAGCAGTTGTTGGGAAAGCCTTCATGCGTTAGCTTGGAAGTTGGAATCACTCGCCTTCCAGATTGGCTCGAGCCAAATATATGATGTTCTCGCTTTCTTTTCATGAGCATGGCTGTAATCGCAGAAAACGCATACCAAAAAATAAAAAACAAAGAAAAAAAAACTGGGGGTAAGATCCACCCGAGGGTGGGATGCCTTAACCACATCTATGTGTTCAAACCCGAAGGTTATTCCCGTCCTTGTCGAGGGAGATGCCAAACATCTCTCCATTCTACGAACACGAAAGATTTGACCTACACTGCCTTTTTATATGGTGGCATTTCCATGCGCTTGGGCATGTGGGATAAGTTCGCAAAGCCCTAGCCTGCCACGTCAGCTAGGGCGAGGGTTTTGGGCTCATGGAGGGAGCAGCCAAGGCGTCGCGGGCGGGCAGCAAGCGCGCTCGCTTCACGTACGAGGAGCCGGATCCAGACGACGACGATGAGGACGATCAGTAAGTCTCGGTCCCAGCGCTCATTCCAGTGATTGTTCTCCTCTCTCAATCCCTTCTTTCTCAGGCCCAGGAAGCTGAAATTTCCTAAAGGAAAGAAGAGCGATGTCTTCGAGCGTGGCGGCGTCGATGAGGAGGAGGACGATGGCGATCCACGCCCGCGCAGTGCACGCATTGCCGCGACCGAGCGGGCGATGCGGCGGAGCGTCATGGCGGAGCAGCTCAGAACCGCGGAAGATACTTCCAATCTCCATGATTTCAGCCAAGCCGAGGAGAGCTTCGAGGTACGCGTCCCAAAAGAGCGTTTTTCCTTTTTTTTGCGATCTTCTTCCAACTAACTCTTTGAGCTCCAGAATGACGATGATGCTGTCAAGTTGGAGCCATTCAACTTAAATGCGGAGAGAAGGGATGGCTTCTTTGACGATGATGGCCATTATGTGGAGTACGCGACCAAGTTCGAGGCTCGGGTATGTGAGAAATCTCTTCTCCTGGCTTCTTCTTTGAGTGTGATTTCCTTTTTGACTCCTCTCTTCCAGGACGCTTGGCTGGACAGTGCGGAGGTAGACACCCGGTTCGCGGCCAAACACCTCGCGAGAAAAGATAAAGAGGCTGCCGAGCACGACATTTCTCCTCGAGATATCGGGCTCATGAAGAAGCGGATTGCGGACGCGCTGGAGCCTGGAGAAACGGTGCTTGTTTTTTCTTGTTCGGCATTTTCATGCTTGGTGGTGGCATTCTATTTTCTTGGGTATGTCACTCACGCTAGCATTTTTATATTTTTTCTTTTCAACTGGATGCCTGCATATATGCTTGTCCCTAGTGTAGTCATCTCGGTGGATCTCATTTATGAAGGCTCTCTTTGCAGGTCCTGGAGGCACTGAGACGACTTAGAGGGTCCACGAAAGAAGGGAATCGACGAGGCAAGCTAACCGGGCCCGCGAAGATCGCCTTCGACCAGCTTACAGAAGATGCAATGAAGCTGATGGACATCGGTGAATCAGGTTTGTCGCCTCAAAAGCCTCGTCTCCAACTCTTCTAATCTTTGCTCAAAATTCTTCCAGACGTCTACGACAAGGTGCAAGAGAAGTTTCGACGAGAAGCAGGTGAATCAATCCTCCAGAGCTTGCTCTCTGCGTGTTTACGGACTTCTTCGCTTGCAGATGCTGTGCTACAAGAGGAAGTAGATATCTTCTCGGATGAACCTCAAGCGTCAGAGCCTGGCGAGGCGGATGCCACTGGATATGTCTACGATGGATCCTCCGGGTATGAGACCTCTCGACAAGAGCAAGCATTCATATCGTTCTAAGCCGCGGCTTTGACAACGCAGATACTACTACAACGCCGAGACGGGATACTACTACGACCCGAGCTCGGGCCTGTTTTGTAGCGCGGCATCCGGCCAGTGGTAAGCTCCATTTTTCTCTCTGGACTGGAGCTTGAATCGAGTCTCTTCCAGGTTTAAGTTCGATGAAGCAACGAATGCGTATGTAGAGGCGGTTTGATCAGCTTGTAAAAAAGAACCATAAGAAATACAAGAATGGTTTCGAGTCGAACAGAACGTTCACTATAAAAGTTAAGCTCGGCAGTCCAAAACTTTCACTATAACGCTAATCCTCGCAAAATATGCTCGTTTCTCAAACCTTGCAAACCTTCTTAGATGTAAAACATGGTGTTCCGGATCTTCTCGTGCATCGGAGGAAGCGGCCGCACTGGTCCAGAGGGAACTCGTCGAGCAGCACGCCTCCCTCCACGAGAACCACCAGCAGGACCACCTCCGGCGTCCGACCCTCCCCCACTCGCCGTCGTTGGAGGCGTGGAGCCCTCGGGATCCACCCAAGCCTGCGCTCGCTGTGCTGCCAAGTGAGCGTAATAGCACGGTGGAACTGCGAGAGAAGTTATCGTTTTTGCATCGAAAGAGACAAGCTTCGGACTTACCATACGAAACAGCTCGGGTGCAGCGAGAGTAGAGGTAGCAGAGGTCGTGCGTGAACTGCTGGATCTCGTTAGCAGTAAACCCATTCTCGTCTTTGAGGACGTGGTAGTGCACGGGCCGGCTAGTCCCCTGCACAGTGCCGCAGGCAAGTTTAAGAATGAGAAATCACTGTGGGGATTTCTTGGGAGTACCTTGATTCCCTGGTGGCTGCAAAGGTAGAAGTCGAAGTTTGTCGGATGGCACACGACTTTATCGACGATTGTCCCCGGGCTGATGTTCTGGTTTTTCCCAGTTGGCTTCGTGGCTGGGAAAAAACAGGTATGGTGTCTCTTTTGCACCACTATGAACGTGATCTTGGGACCCTTTGATGGTTGCTTGGACCGCTTTTCAGCCTGCTCCGGAGGCCCACCGCTCCAGCCTAGAGCGGAACAAGCCTGCGACGTGCCAAGATTTTAGACACCCGATCGAAGTCAAAATGTTTACAAACTTACTCGCTGAAGCGACTCGTATTCGCTACGAAGCACAGCTTCGAACTGTCCTTCGCTTACTCCGTCTCTGGAATGTTAATGTAAGCTTCTAAATCCCGACCATTTCCTTTTGTTACCTGTAATAAATTATACGCTCAGGGATAAAGTTCGTCCGGTGATGGAATGCCATCAACATCTCCCTGTTGCAAAGAAAAACAGAAAAACAATGTTAATGCACCACACCGTAAGAACACACTTACTTGAAAATGCCACCACTGACACTACGGCCCTGCTCGTCAACGTTCTCCCAGAACAGGTCGTCCAACATCTCCTGTCGCGAAGGCTGACTTCTCACGACCGTCGCATACTGCGCAAACCCGGGCCAATCCATACTCGCCACAACCTGGATGTTCTTTATGTCAGTGAGAGCATCCATCTTTATATCGTTACGTACCGCTGCCATTGAGCACCCTGTTTCCTCCCCAGCACGAGGATGAGAAACGTCCGCACCGATTATCAGAGTTGGCGAGTCTGCTACCGGCTTGCATTTCTTCAGATCTTGCGCACATATAACTGCGTTTTTCCCTCCGAACTGTCGAAACCTCGTCAATAGCCAACGAAAGAAAACATTTCGCATAATACCTTGGCATTGATTTTTAAAATAAGGTTTGCGAGGTAGCGAGGATCACACTTCCTAATTTTACCCTCCTGCGCGCATTGAGTTATGACGCCAAGTTCAAGCTCGCATAAGCGCTTGATAGTCACTGTGAAGAAGGAAGAAGTGTTCACTGAACATGAATCACAGTCACCGCAAATCTTACCATAAAATGGCTTGTGTTCACGATCTGGTAGAATGCACACGAGCAGCTGGAGCTCGATATTCCGCTCCGCAAGTTTTTTCACGGAAGACCGTATCGCTTCGTCCACCGTCTGTGGAACAGTCACCACCAGCGGAGGCATTACGACATTCACGTCCAAGCCCTGTAAAAGAAGCATTAAGAAAAGCTAGTAAAAGAAGAATTCTGCAGACGTACCACTCCATAAGAAAGACATGCTGACGAGAGCTGCTGTGCTATCCTTTGAAGGTCATTTTCTCTCACACGGTTAGAGCAGCTAATAATGCCCCAATGTTTGATCTCCCGCCCTTCAACCATTTTCTGCACGCATTCATCTGCGTCATGAATAGCACAATCTTCCCAATTGCTTGCACCTTGTTTATCATGTTCCACGTCCCATCGCGGGGACAAATTTCACCATTTCCATACTTCACCTGCACTTACGAATTTTTATTTGTCTACTTCACGAGGTCTGCTAGTAAACCCAACCTTTGGAGGATTAAGAACTCGAGCTGGAACTCTAGTCCAGTTAGGATTGATTTCCACTCCGAACTCTTTGGCGTGATCTTCACTTTGTTTTTTCAGATTTAAGCAGGCCTGGACAAAAACGTTTGTCGAGGTAGAAATGAAGCTGCCCAAACCTGTTGTGTGGCGTTCACGCGTTGCTCAGGTAGGCAGCATGTCATTGCAGAGAGCCCCTTTCTCTGGTCGTCATTCACCCTTCTGGTAAAATTCTGGCCCTTAACGAGTCGGCAGAGCTGCCCAACAACAATGGATTACTCGTCAAACAGCAGAAGGATAGGCAAACCTCGAGCGGGATATACTTTTTCCGATCACCGGATCCTTGCTCCACAGCAGGAAACCCCCCAAAAGCCAGGTTTAAACCATAAGTTTGCCGAAAATAATCGGCTACAGAAACTTGCATGCCATTCATATTAAAGCTTTACAAAAACGACGTTAGCGAAGAACACGAACTTGAAAGCAGGGGGCACTTACTTCAAAGTTTCCAGTGGCTGTCGCGTCAAGCTCACAATCTTGAGTTTTCGTTTGGTCTTGCAGTGACTTGTTTCCACCTTGAGGCCTTTCACCAGCTTCTTCATCTACACAAAAGATCGCTTTGCTTAGGAAAAGCACATTCTAAGATGAAGGAAAAAAAAGAAAGAAAGAGAAATCTCAACCTTGACGCGGTAAGTGTCGCCCTGTGCATCCTGCCGACGCATGTTACGATCCAGATCGCGAGGATCGGCACCAAAAGACCGGCTCACAAACTCCACCAGAGTCTGCCCCTCCTTGATAAACGCATTCCCGGTCATGTCTGCGAGAAGAAAAAATAAAGAATAAAAGAACGCAACCTGGAAACTCTGGAAACTCGTACCAATGTTAAGGACGAGCAAATTGTCCTGTGCTGGACGGATGGACATATAGAAGCCTTGCCACGCGACGAGGCCCCCTCCAAGATCCTTGTTTCCCAGGTTAGGGGAGAAGAAAGACCGACCACCAGGAACAAGGCTGCATTGAGTTCCACCCTTTTAGACAAAGAAAGAAGGAAGAACAAGAGCGAGCGTTCTTACTTCTTCGAGTTCGTAGCACACTCCCTCAAGACGAGATCCATGACTTGGATCGTGTCGTGTGGGCAAACAGTGGTTCTCCCGCCTAGAAAATTCGCGAGCGAGCCCAAATTCGGCCTCGAGGCAAGCCGCAGTGTGACACGAAAGTCTGTGTCTCTCCTGGCAACATACATTGCTCGAAATCAGCACAAACGAGAGAAAAAGCCTCGAAATCTTGCCTCCTTCTTCCACTATCGTCGACATCCCCGAGCTTCACGTCCAGCTCTAGGCTATCGCCGATCGATTTCGCCGTGTAGAGGCTCTTCTCTCCATCGTAGACCGGCAAGCACTGGATCTTCTCATTCTTGTACTGCTCGATCATGGCCTGGATGATGGCTCGCTTGAATCCCGCGGGAACATCGGGGGTCACAACCACCTGGAATCGCAAGAACCAGCGGCAAGGACGCGAAATAAGCAAGGAGAGAAGGATCGATCGAGCAAGAACCTACATCGTAGTGGAAAACATTCCTCGTCTTGTCGAAGCGCACCCAGAAATTATTGGCCAGCACCGTCGTCCCCGTTCCCGCGGTGCCATAGCCCGGCCGGCGCGCGAGGATCACCGTCGTCGGAGCTCCCTCCGCCATAGCTCTCGCCTTCTCTCCACACACAACGAAAGAAACCCCTCGCCAATTGGAAAAATGGGAAGGCTGGGATTGGACGGCTGGGATGGAAGGAGGGAGATCTAACGGCTGGAATGTCAACAGTTAAGAAGATGGTAAGTGCTGACGGCTATAGGGCGTACTGTTGGATCGTGAGTAGCACATTTAGCTTTCTAGGCTAGTCGATTGGTTTTAATCATGGCGATCGATCTAAGCGACTGCTTTGATTGGAGTATATCATTCATAAGTTTGATTACTTTGTACTAATAAAATTCCTCACTAATTCATTCTTAAGCATTCGTCCATTCTAAATGCAAGTGAAGCTTTCCAGCCGCTCGAGGAGAAAGCGTCACTACTTCGTAGTATGATCTCTCGGTGAGAACTTTGGAGAGTGTAAGCGCACAACTTCCCATAAAATCCTGGAAAGAAAACTTGTTAGATCCATGGAGCTCTAAGTTTTTCTATGGAAGATCCACCTTTCCAAACACATCGCGGTCCCAAACTTCCACCACAACCATATCGTTCCTCGCGTCCTCCACGGGGAATTGAAACCTTTGGTTCCACTCCGGATTGAGCGTCTTGCGCATCACCTGGAAGAAAGTTCTCTAAAACTTTAGAACACCCCTCAAGAACAAGCTCTAACACCACTTACGCTGGTCTTTTGCATCTTCGCTTTGCTTCCTTTCATGTAAATCACCACATATGGATCCGACTTGCCATTGAAATCCTTGGCCACCAAGTTCTCCCCTCGAATCACCGTCACGCCCAGCGTTCCACTAGCAGCTAGCTGATCGTCGCCCGAGGACAAGACTCGATAGTGCACGGCAGCCGGCTTGATGAAGCTCTTGGATGAAAGCTTTGATGCCAAAGAGGAAGCTCGCCTGTGGTGCTGGACGCCATTTACGAGCGGTGTTCTTGGTGTTTGTGACTTTGTACCACCTTCCGGCCGTGAATCCACGTCTAGCGGCATGTAAAGAAGCTCGAGCTGGACCTGTTGTCATTGGAATGCTAAATGGAAAGAAAGAAGAGCTTGCATGAAGTTTACCTGGCCTCTATACTTGTTTTCCTTCTTGTTGCCGAGATCCTTGACGAGTGGAAGCCAGTACTCGGTTAAGCTCCCCGGCTGTAGCTCTCTCACCGGCACTTGAGTCGATCCGATTAGCTCCGAGGCCTGGACGCTGTCTTCGTCGAAAATGTGAACAAACAGCTTCTGCGTTGCCGGATCTTCTATTTCAAACTCAAAAACTTCGTTCCATACCGGGTTCAGGTCGTTATCCTGCAAAGTTTTCAAAGATTCATGAAGAAAAAAAATTCGTAAGACTTCCTTACGATTGTTTTGGTTCTTTTTCTCCGGGCCGGTATGGGACGGATAAAGAGCTGCGCGAAAGGATCGGATTTTCCAAACAAGTCCATGTTGAGCAAGTCTTTCGCTTGTACCACCTTGACAACTAGTCTTCCACACGTACGGAGTTGGAGATCACTGTTATACGGCACCAAGAAATCTGTGTCGAGTGAAGTTCATGAAAGATGCGTGAGTTACCTATAGTCACCCGCGAGAATTGGCACAACTTGCCGCATTGGCCAGAGGAACGAGTCCGTCACCGCCGTTCTTATCATTCCCTATAGATTATACGTTCATGGGAGAAAAAACAAGGAGTAGAGAGCAAACACAACGCTTACATCGATTGCTCCTGCAAGCACTGGAAATGCTTTGATGTCTCCGCCGATAAACTTGAGCTTGAAATCAAGTTTTTTCTGGCAACAATGAACAGCACTCTCAGCAAAAAGATGGGAGAAAAATCACTGCTAACCTGTTCACGCAGCGAGTACATAATGGCTCCAAAGCACGGGAAAGTATCGACTAGAGGCTTGAGAACAACGCGAAAGACACCAGTTACTCCAATGTCCTTCACCTTTTTTTGTGTTTTCCATAGAAGTTTGACAAACATGAGCGGAAAAATGCTTAAGATTTTCAACGCGCGCTACCTGTACTGGTGGGAGCGACACTCCAAGCATGGTTTTCACGCCAAGTATAATGCTGGGATTCCCATCCCACTGCAGCTCCATCTCCAACACGATCTCATCGTCGGTTGTTTCCACCTTTTGTATGCCTGCACAAAAGAAAACAAGAAAAAGGCTCCACAAAGTCACTCCACTTTCAAAAGTTTGTGGCAAGGAACTGTGATTCTTGGACCTACAAACTGTGGCGCGACAGTGCCGAGCGTGAACTTTTGGAACTTGAGAGAAGAAATAACCGGGGGTTTGTATTGCTCCAGTATGGGTTCCACGATAACTCTAGTGAGCTCCGAGGTTGCCTGTTAAACAAAATCACGAGAACTTGAGACTTGTTTTTCTAAAAAAAATAAAAATTTTTCTCGACGAACCTGATCTATGAATGGCCACATCTTCCGGAGCTCGTAGTTTAGCCACGACACCTATAGAAAAAGAAAGAAAAGAAGGCGGTGTTACTTAATAGAGAAGAAAACCAACCGGTGTTACTTAACAGAGAAGAATTGTTAGCGAGGAAGAAACACTAGAGGCTTTAACTGAACCTTGTCATACTGGGTGAAGAGGACCCACTGCGGTAAAGACTGCTTGCTAAAGAGCTTCCTCACATCCTCCACGCTTAGTTGCGAGAATGCCGCCGTGGAGACCGCCTGCCGCGAGGAAGCAAAATTTGGGATGATTGGAGAAGGCTCTAGAATGCAGAGAAAACGAAAGAAGAGGAGCACTCACCAGTTTCCTGCGAGCTTGGGATCGCTGGTTCTCGCAGAGAACGAAGGCGATCGTCAGCGCTAGGCCGAGAAGAAGCCCCAAAACGAAGCCAATCACCAGGCCCATGATGTAGCACCATCCACGGATTCGATCCGCGAAAATCGATCGAGAAAAGCGGGAGTGACCACTTTAATTCCTGATACCCTCCTCTTTCTCTTCACTGGCCGCTCTCTACTACTACGCTACCTTTGAGAGAAAAAATTGGATCCTGGATTGGATGAATCGAAGCTGCCGCCCTTCCCACCGTGACGTGGTAATCTTCGTTCCGCACATGGAATATTCCGGGGAATGATTCTTTCCGGTACGGTACTTTTAAACCTTCGATTGTACCATTTCCTTTTATCGAAGTGGAACGTTTTCGCATTGTTTGCTCGATCATTCTTCTCGAGTGATTGGCTCCAGCGTCACCACCTCGAGGATCTCCCCGTCGCTCCAATGCAGCGCCTTGAGATCAGCCGCGGGATCGACGGCGGCGCCCTTGATCTCGGAAGAATCGAGTGTGGAGCGGAAGAGACTTATCATCTTCGTGTTCTTCAGGGCTTCGAGCATCTGGACCTACCAAGGAAGAAATAAAGATCGATCAAAAACCAAATCAAAGCAAGCACGATTGTTGGAAAAGAAATGTAGCACCACGCCCCACTACCTTGGTCCGGAAGACGGTAGCGCTGCGTACTCCATGCATCCTGAGCACCTGATCGACGATCCAATTTGGGATCAAAGATTGAAGAAAAACCCATCCAATCGAGTGGATCCATCCAAATTACCTCTTCCAGGCTCTTGGTAAGAATCCCCTTTGTGAGCATCTCCTCCTCCGGAAGCTGCGACTGCCGAAACAGCGAAGTGTACTCCTCTGTGGTGACGCTCGACAGCGCCATAGCCGCCGCCGCCGCCTTCACCCTTCTTGTAATTCTTAAGTGGAATCTAAACTAACCTTCACATAGTTTTAATAACCTTTCTTCCAGTATTTGGATAAAAGGAACCTTGAGTTTTAAATTTAAATTCTTGACAAAGAATATTTTACTTTTATTACTTGTAGGTTGGTAGAGGTAAAAAATACCATAGGAACAGTAAAGTATATTTCATTATGGCAAGGGTAAAAACTTTCTTTCTTGTTATGTCAAACAATCAATGAGGCAAACTTTTAGGTTGGAGAGGTATTTCCTTCATAATATTTAAGTTCTCAACTAAAGAATCAATTGAAAATGTTTCACCAATATGTATTGGCAAACAAAGTGAGTTGCTATTAATTTCTCAAGATGATCCTCAAAATCAGAGTTTAATGCATTGAATTTTGTCATAAAGGCAAGTTTCATTTTTTTCTTATAAATAACAAGCATGTAGGGCTTCAACATCTTTATAGTACCAAATATATATAAGATAAGTAAAATAATCAAGAACAATAGGGAAAAGTAAAACATTGCACAAAGGTATAATTGTGGTGTCATACTCCAAACATACTTTCAAATCAGGCCTCAAAATTACACCTTTTAAAGCTGTTTAACTTGCTAGATTCTAATTTAGCCTACTATTTGAATGATAAGTCACCTTGCACTAAAGTACAAAAATATTTTAGCCCTATGACTTATAAGGCAAAGAAAATTTGTATATTGTAGTATGAATAATATTTTACCAAATAGTATTAAAAATATCTTAAGAATATCCTAGTGTTTAACCACGGATTAGGTCTAGCATAGATGGGTAAGCAATGATAGCAACAACAATATGGGATTAAAATATTTATCACTACTACTACTAAGATGGAGAAAAGAAAGATATATCAACAAAATATGGCAATCCATAATTCACTTTTTGATGAAAGACCTAAAATTAGATTAAAGGATGAACAGCAGAAGAAGAAGTTAATATTTCAAATAGTCAAAAGAATAAAACATTCAAAACTCAATTTTACTTAAGTATATTATATGGTGGATACTAAAGACAAGCAGAAGATGAAATGTACAACATCTGTATATGCTAGAAAGGATAATCCTTTTGGTAAAAATGGTTATTTTACTCTTCAAAAACCAACTTTGAAAAAGAATAACAATTCCAAACAACATCAATTAAATATAACTATTTGGAAAGTAAAGAAAAAAAAGGGCTATCTATGTCAGGAATCCCCCAATTCTTGCCACATTCCTGACTCTCACCGAATTCCTGACATGCAGACCACATTCATGATTCTCGAGACACTTCCCTATTATGTGGCACCTCCTCAACCTCAGCTATATTTAGGCCGTCCTCGATCCAAGAGTGGTGGAGCTTCATTAACCTATAGTATATATAGATTAGCCTTGTTCCATTTCTCCACAATCTGAATCAATGCCAATTTAAAGCCTCTTCTTTGTTTCCACTAGCTTTTCTCTTTGTCTTTTGCATTTTCCAATCTTGATCTTGTTGGGGGTCTTGACAGTTTAATTCAGATTATGCTTTTTGCTTTTGTTTTAGCTCGTTTCGATTATTTGATTGCCTTTGTCTTTTATTCCTTTTTTTTTTCCTTTCTTCTTGCCGATGGAGTCTCCAAGCCATCCTGATTTCTTTGCCGAAGTCCTTGCAAAAATCCAGTCTAAGAATACCGAGCTGAAGGCGACCCTTCTTCGCATGCAGCAGGAGCTTGCTTCACTTTCGGCTCAAGGATCCAACAAAGTTTCTGAACCGAAGGTGAGTTTCCCGGCGAAACTTTCAGGCAAGCATTTGGAGCTTCGCAGATTTTTGAACCAAATGGAGCTGATCTTTGCACTTCAACATCGGCAGTACCCCACTCCCGAGTCTCAAATTGGCGCGATTGGGACGTTGCTTGAAGGTGCAGCTTTGTCATGGTTTTCTCCTCTTCTGGAGAAGAGCATGAAAGTGGTCGTGGTTCCGGAGCTGATGGATCTTCAATTGTTCAAAGAGAAGCTCGAAGCATGTTTTGGCGAGACGGATCGGGTTCGGGCTGCTACCACAAAGATGAGACATCTCTCTTAGGGGTCTCGTCCTGCCTCAATCTACGCTACAGAGTTCCAACTCCTTGCCTTGGACACTCAGTGGGATGAGCGGGCCCTGATTGACCAATTTCGTTTCGGCCTCAACAACGGTGTCAAGGATTTGTTGCTCACCATGGAGGATCCCAAGGACTTATCGGACGCCATCAACAAAGCTGTTCGATGTGACAATCGTCTCTTTGAACGTCGTCAGGAAAGTCGCTGCGCCGCTGTTTTTCCGTCCCAGACTTAGGAATCCCAGCTTGAGCCTTCGGGGCATACTCCTGAACCCACTGCTCCGGTCCCGATGGATATTTCTGGTACTCCCCAACTCATTAGAGGGAAGTTGAGTCCTGCTGAGAAGCAATGTCGAATATCTCATAATCTTTGCCTCTACTGTGCTGATCCTAATCACAAAGCAGCTGTGTGTCCTAAGAAGCCTCCTCGACTGCTCGAGTTCACTCTGCCTCAAAGTCCACCTCTATTGCAGTTGGGAAACGACCCTGTCCAAACAGAGTAAGAGCTGTCTGTTTGGACTCCCCGAATAAAAATCACTTTTCTTCTTTATCAAACTCCTCACCACCTTTCATCAAAGCCACCACCAATTCCCGCAACTTCCGCGTCTAATGTCTTCTTTCTTTCATCGGACAATCAGGACTCAAGGCTTTGGCGCTACTGGACTCGGGTGCAACTTCCTGCTTCATGGACACGGACTTTGCTGCCCGACATCACGTTCCTCTTTCTCCTACCATATGGGATCTGAGGGTTGAAGGCATCGGCGGGCATTTTGTGTCTCCATCTTCTGGACTTAGGGAAACGTTGCCCGTTCGAGTACACATCGGATCCACCGTCACCGATATCGCCTTCAACATCATCAATAGCAAGTCCTCCTCTGTGGTGCTCGGTCTTCCTTGGTTTCAACTACATCAGCCTCAGATTTGTTGGAAGGAATTACAGCTCATCTCTCCCACATCACCATCTCCCACGGCTTCCCCTACTATTCATCGAGTCCGAATTAGGAAAAGTTCCCTAAACTTAAATCGGGGTTCTGTTCCTGACTCTACGAAGTTTTCACCCTCTTCTTTTTCCTCTCTTCCATCTTACACTGGATAGTATCCTCATTTCATCATTCCATTTAGTCGTACACCTCCTCCTATCTCCACAATCACTATGAAAGAACTCCTTCATGAAGAACCTATTTTCCTTTTTGCTTTGCATGTTTTTCCTGTCAGTCTTCCTGAGAAGTATCATGATTTTGGGGATGTGTTTGACAAGAAAAAAGCTAGTGTACTACTTGTTCATTGGCCTTATGACTGTCCCATTGATTTACAGGAAGGAGCGTCACCTCCGTGAGGGCCTATCTATGGGTTATCCCCGTCCGAGCTTAAAGCCCACAAAGAGTACGTGGATGAGAACCTTGCTTCGGGGTACATTTAGCATTCGTAGTCCCCAGCTGGAGCGCCTGTCTTCTTTGTCAAGAAGAAGGATGGGAGTTTGCGGCTAGTCATCGATTACCGAGGTTTGAACAAAGTGACTGTTCGGAACCGTTATCCGCTGCCCCTGATCTCGGACCTGTTGGAACGCCTCGGCGGTGCCCGCTTCTTCACCAAGATTGATCTCCGTGGCGCATACAACCTGATCCGGATCCGGCTTGGTGATGAATGGAAGACTGCATTCCGAACTCGCTATGGCCACTTCGAGTACACTGTCATGCCATTTGGCTTGACAAATGCTCCAGCAGTTTTCCAACACATGGCGAACAATGTCTTTCGGGAGTTTCTTGATCAGATGGTGATCGTCTACCTTGATGACATCCTCATCTACTCAAAAACTCAGGAGGAGCACGACGAACACGTACACAAGGTGCTGGCAAAGCTGCGTGAATACGGCCTATACGCGAAGCTTGAGAAATGTTCCTTCGATCAGCAATCTGTGGAGTTCCTTGGGTACATTGTCACTCCTGAGGGTATCACAATGGATCCTGCCAAAGTCAAGACTATTCTCGAGTGGGAGCCTCCACAATCAATGTCGGACGTTCAGGTTTTCCTTGGCTTCGCCAATTTCTACCGCAAATTCATTGATCACTACTCTAATATTGTCCTTCCTCTCACGCATCTCACTCGTAAGGATGTTCCCTTCTCTTGGTCTGCTGTTGCGTAGCACGCCTTCGACACACTCAAGGTAGCCTTCAGTTCTACTCCCATTTTGATCCATGCTGATTCCTCACAACCTTTCTTCATTGAGGCATATGCCTCCGACTTTGCCATTGGTGCTGTGTTGTCTCAACTTGGAGCGGATCAAGAACTTCATCCGGTCGCTTTCCATTCTCAAAAATTTCAGCCTGCGGAGATCAATTACGAAATCCACTACAAGGAGCTCCTTGCCATCGTGGATTCCTTTGGAGAGTGGCGCCATTTCTTGGAGGGGGCGGGCCATCAAACAACAGTCTGGACGGATCACAAAAATCTCGAGGACTTTGCCACTTCCCGAGTTTTAAGCTGTCGTCAAGCAAGGTGGGCACAATTCTTGAGTCGGTTTAACTTTGTTATCAAGTACAGACCTGGAAAGCTTCAAGGCCTTCCTGATGCTCTTTCAAGGCGCTCCTATCTCAGTCTCAGGCCTGGTAATGCTGCCTTCGATCAACAAGATCAAGTTATCCTCGGTCCTGATCGGCTTCAAGTTATGGCAATTTCCCTGGCCCCGCAGGACTCCTCTTTGATGGATGCAATCAGAAACGATCTTCAATCTGATGATCTCGCCAGCGACATTTTCCCCCATCTTCAGGCTGGACACTCTGTGACTCCCGATTGCCGGCAATTTGACGAGTTCGAGTTCTTAGATGGCTTATTATACCGTGGGGAGCAACTTTACGTTCCTGAAGGTGATGCTCGAAGGTTGGTCCTGATGGCGTGCCACGATAGCCCGATTGCTGGTCACTTCGGCATT